AATTGACGGAAGTTCTGTTAGTGCTTTCATTCAATACATTTCTTTTTTTTTCCATTTCTTCCAATGCATCTGAAAGATTATTTCATATAATAGTTCTTTTGAAACAGGCTTCTGTTAAACGATTCATTCATTCTTGTCTCTTTGAATTGGACACTGGTTAGGTGACTCAGCTTTGGATTCGAATAATTTGTTTGGAGGAGGTATACGAAGGCTGAAAATTTCCATTGTGGAAATAACATCAGTTGATTGGTTTTTTATTCGATGAAAATCTTGAGCATATGTAGTTTTGTTTAGTACGATGTGATCAGTGATAACAATGCGAGTGTTTTGCAGAGTGGTCCAGCATTACGATATGAAAGTCTTCGTGTAATGCTGCGTATGATTTATCCGTCGGAATCGTCAAATCTGAAAGAAGTTCTCAACGAAGTGTCATTGGCTGGTCATATTGCAAGTGCTTTAGCGAGTCCTCGTTCCAAGGATTTGTGCATTGTGGCGTCTGCGTTACAACTAGTCCATCTTGTCCTCGATAAACTTCCTGATCTGTATACTCCGTTATTTAGACGTGAAGGTTTGTGCTTGTTTCAATCTCTCTTCATATGACATTTTAAAAAATAAACTTTCCCTTATTGTTAATATAATCACTAACTAAATAGTTGAGCTCATCGACGCACTTAAAAGCACCTCATTGTGGGTGAATTTGACTGAAGTTGTTCAGTCAACATTGCCACTGGAAACATGGAACATTCTTTTGAGCATATTTAGAGATTATTCGATAAAAGTTGAAGATAACTGGTCATTTGTGTGCCTGCATACGAATGAAATATCATATTTTTGACTGTTATTCCAGATGAGTTTTTTGTAAGTCTTGTAAAAAAGCCTTGCAAAATCATAATCGGTTGATATATCAGAACATAAGGTGTCGTCGTTGAATACATTCCTTTCTGAGATTGGTAATAATATTTATATGTATATGAATTGAATGGTGAATTTCAGGCGTTGTGCATGAAGTTGAGAAACTTTCGAAAATCAAGTCCGACTCACCAGTGAGTATGCCTCCGGTTCGTTCATCACCATCCGTGATCGCCAGTTTACGAGATGGTAATAGCAGTAGTAGCAGTAATACGAACCCAAATCAATCTGTAATAAGAACACGAAGTGCGTTGAAGAGTCGTGCGT